GCGGGTTGCCAAGGTGGCGAAAGGCCCCCTGACCTGGGTCAGGAACAGTGCAGCCAGCAGGAGCAGGGAAGTGACTGTCCCCCTGTACTCGGCATTGGGAGGCCGCACCTTGGATACTGTGTTCAGTTTTAGGCCCCTCACTGCAAGAAGGGCTTTGAGGTGCTGGAGTATGTTCAGAGAAGGGCAATGAAGCTGGTGAAGGGGCTGGAGCAGAGACCTTACGAGGAGGAGCTGAGGGTTACTTCATATGGAGAGGAGGCTCAGGGGAGACCTTATCACTCTCCACAACTTCCTGAAAGGAGGTTGTTGTGAGGCAGGAGTCGATCTCTTCTCCAATGTAACTGTGGATAGGACAAGAGGAAATAGCCTCAAGTTGTGCCAGGAGAGGTTCAGGTTAGACATTAGGAAGAATTTCTACACAGAAGGACTAGTGAAGTGTTGGAACAGGCTGCCAAGGCAAGTGGTGGAGTCACTGTCCCTGGCAGTGTTCAAGAAATGTGTAGATGAGGTGCTTAGGGACTGAGCACCTGATTAGCAGGCAGGGTGGTGATGGGTTTACAGTTGGACTCAATTATCTTAAAGCTCTTTTCCAACCATAATGGTTCTATGATTCTTTATGTCTTAAGTTCAAGTCCTACAAGTCTGTGTATGACTTGCATAAATTCAGCAGCCATTTAGTGCAGAGGTAATTACATATTTTTGCACCTGCTACTGTTCTTGGAGCACTTATAGCTGTTGCTTATTCTTTCCAGTAAAAGCCTTTTCCTAATTTCTAGCCTAATTCTTAGGTAAAAAAAATCGATTTCCTCATGTCGTCTGTTATCTTAAAGGATGTTATTCCCCTCTAAGCAATAGTTAGAGAGTAATTGTGTTTGCTCTGAGCTTTCTACTGAAGATTATGAAGTGCAGTCCTTAGTCTGCTGTCCTGGAATAGATTCTCCATTCACACAAGCATCCTGCTAGCCCTGCTGTAATGCAAGTCCGTTGTCCCTGACACAGGGTGTTGAGTTTGCAGTCTGTTTTCTGGATGAGATCTCACCAGAAATGTTATACCTCTTAAAAAGAACTGCTATTTCTCAATATCCTGAGGATATGTTAGGCAATTCACTGGGATTTTTCTGTGTCTTCTTATTGTTTTTATTTTTGTTGTTGTTGTTTTTGGTGGGGGGCAAGAGGGAGAGCAGAAATCTTCTTAATTGTATTCTATGGTGTAATAATCACTGAATATCTCCTCATAATATTTCTGTTCTCTTTTAATAAATTTATGCATTTGACAGACAAAATGACAAATTAAAACACTTGTTCTTAGTGTTTCCGAAAGCATTTTTATATTTGCAGCTGATACTAATTTTTAGGAATGCAGTAATGAAGTTTCCTAATCCTTGTGCATAAGTCTTTTCTTATATTATCCTGTAAATTTGAACTCCATGAAAAGCCTAGTGAAATGAAAATTGTTCACCTAGTGAATAGTGTTGGCATGTGTCTGTTAAAGATAGCTCTTGTTTCCTTGAGTTAGAAATACTCTAACTTCTGAGATTATAAAGATGTGACAAATCTTTACCACTGTGAAGTGAAAGTAATGTGCTGCTATGGCTCTTCCCAGGTGAAGGAAAGTAGCAGATTTCTGTGATATCCTTCGTGAAAATACAGAATTAAACCTTGGAAAAGTCTCTCTCTTCTCCATCCTTTTTTTTGAGCTGTCGAGGTGATAATCCTAACAAATAGTGCTCATTTGAATGTGGTTCAAGGGAAATGTGCATGAAGTGCATAGTTTTCCCAGTCCTTTGAGTTCTCGTGCACAAGAATTCAGTCTCCCTGGTGACAATTAGAACTGGGAAGTTGCTCTTTGTTGGGCTTCCCCCCCGCCTCCCAGCTCAGAAGTCAGTCCGCGCTCGACACTTCCCCCTTTGCCTTGGTGCTGTGTTCCCATGATCTGTTAGTTTTGCTCTTTTATACAGGGATGACTTTTGTAACAGGAAAAAAAAGGTCTTGGGGATAGCAACACAACATCAACCTTCCCCCTGCTGTCCTATGCGTGCCCAGGGCACAGTCTAGAAATGGTTGCAGTGGGACACGAAGTGACCAAATGTCTACCCAGGTTTTGGCTTTTGATTTTGTTACTGCCTGGGTTCAGTATTTTTGCATAACACCATGCAGCAAAATTATTAAAACAAATTTGAGTGATATTTTAATCCATTTTCGCACTTCAATGAAATTGATTAAATTCTAATTAAATAGCTGTTAGCTTAACTCCGAGGATCATGTTTCTATATGAATGAGTATCTGTGTGAATGTAGCGGTCTCATGTATAGGACACAGGTAGAAGTGAAGGGTACGTAGCACCTGCTTATGTTTTTGTTGCCACTTGCTGGGCAGTGGAATCTCTCTCTTGTCCACAGCACCACTCATAATCAGCAGCAAGAGCTAACCCGGGTTTTGAAATGCTATTTCAGGAGCATGTTGAAATCCTGTGTTTTTTCTTGCAGAGAGCACCCAAAAAAATAGCTTTAAGCTCGTCTCCTGCAAGACCACCTTTATCAAATATGTACTGTTAAAAAATAGCAACAGGGCTTTATCAAAAGTCAAAGGCCTGATCCTACGTTGCAGGAGAGATGCTTCTCTCAAGAACAACCTCAAAATGTCTCTTTGGGGAAGACAGGCAAAGCGCTGCTGCCACCTTGAGGCAGTTATTTTGTTTGCGCCGTGAGACTGTTAATTTGGTGATATCTCAGTTTGAAGCATTGAATCTGAAGACCAAGTAGAGTGGGGACTTGCAGAAGAAGAGGGTTTCGTCAGGGAGGTGTCTGAAAACATAAACAAAAAGCCCGTGGGTGTGAGGACACTTGTGTGAGAATAACAGACCCAATTTTCCTTCACTTGGGAAATTGGTGGGTTTGTTTTGTGCATTTTTGTATTTTGCTTTGAAAAGTCTGCAACCTTAACTGTTAACAAATCTAGAAAGCAGACTGAAAAGAAACTAGTGTGTCCAGAATACTCAGACCCTCCGCACTTGCACTTCAACTTGGTGCAAGGCTATAGACTGGTATTGAGAGCTCTTACAAACTGCAGAAATTGCAAGAACAAGAGATGGAACAAGAACAAGAACTGTGAGAGGAGCTGGGGCTTTATGCACGCAGGAGGCAACAGCTTAAAGTAGTCCAGCCTGGGTCAGCTCAGCGTTAGAGTTACATTTTAGGCTGAAATTTCCTCACAACAGGAAAGACTGGGAACAACCACTACATAATTTAGTGAATTAACGTTGTATTTGTAGTAACTTATAAGTTTGTAGTAATTCAGAATGGGAAGCTCATCCACAGCTGCATAAGGGAAGTCTGTTTTCCATGTTTGCTGTAAATAAGCAATAAATAAATAAGCAGTATATAAGCTTACTTTTCAAGCTTTGATCTTGCAAGACAATTTAATTATCGCAGCCCGGGTTATAGGTGTACTCGTCTGTCTTAACCTGCACATAATAACAGTGTATTTATCTTGTAATGATTACACTGGAAGTTGAAATGGCCTTAAAGTAATTACACATTGTTCTTCTACTAATACTTAATTAGTACCTTCCCAATTTCTAGAAAAAGTGCTTATTTCCTGGAACACTATGAGCCCACAGCACAGTTTGAACAATTTTTTCTGTTGCTACTCAAATTCCAGTCCCTTCAGTCCAGTCCCTTCCTTTTCATGGAATAAAACTCTTGTTCATTTGCATCATTTTGTGGTTGTGTGACCAAACGCGTGAAAAAAGATACTGCTCACTTGATAGAGTCTTCATATTGCTTGCTTGCAGTGTTTGTTTGAGAGAGGGGAATCAACAAGAAAATTAGCCTTATATTTTGATTATTATGAAGTAGTAAATTAGTATTGTAACTGCATAATGTTAAACAAAAATGGATCTGTTATACAGAAAAGTAGATTGAACTAATATCTCGGCCTTTTGCTGTCTCTCAAAATGTAAGCTGAAAAACATTCTTTCCTCAATGAACTAGAAAGGAATTAACTAGCAAGCATTATATTGTACGAGTGCCAAGTATATGCATGATAACTTGTGATACAAATGCAAAGAGAATATTTATTTAAACAAAAAGCATTTTTTTCAAATGTATTAACTTACCTTTACTACTTTATTGTGTGAAAGCTTAACAGAATATTACATGTAAAGATGCAAATTAAGTGTTCAGGGGCAAGTAGGTACTTTTGGAATTAAATAGTTGTGATTTCTAATGCTAATTATATTTTCTAAAGTCCGAATATGCAAAATGATTGGAAATAAACAGAGAAAGCTTAATATCTCCTTCACTTTTTTTTTTTCTTCTTTTTCTAAACAGTCAGAGACTGGAAATGAAAGCGCAAGTTGCAGATGCATTCATAGCAAAATTCCAGCTGACACCAGATGAAATGAGCCTCCTTCGAGGCACGAAAGATGAGCCGATTACTGAGGTAACTCAATGAACATTAAAAGCTTTGCCCTGAACTAAAATGCAGAAACACTCTAGTTGATTTGTACATGAAACCTTATTATCAGAGTGTAGTTTCATTTTATGTGTTATATTTTTAACAGATTGTTGGATTTCTGATGAGTTTGAAATGTGTGATGAAAGATTGAAGTAACAGGCATATCAACATTAAATTCTAGCTTGAGTAACGTGTTTGAGGGACAGTGAGAGCTCTTATATCATCCTACTGTTTTCTGCCTTTATAGAATCTCAAATTTAGGTTAACATGTTTTAAAACTTCATTGAGAGCAAGTAGATCGAATGAAAATTTGCAGGAATATGGAGCACTGTTTTTGTCCATGTGAGCACATTTTACATACGTATAAGTATTTTATATAACATAACTTGAAATAATATAAAGTGGGACTTTTTCTCATTGTTATGTTGTTGTTGAAGATATTAAATGCTGACTCACTTTTAACCACCTTCCAAAACAAGTTTTTTAATATGATTATGGTTTTAGGCAAGAAGGCACATTGTTCTGCAATAAAAGCAAACAGAATAATGAGAGAATTGAGTATATTTAATAGCTTTTATTGTGGCAGCTGCATGGAAATGTTCACTTAAATTCAGCCTACCTGCTGAGACATGGTATCTCATTTCCACAGATATCCTGTTTGCAGTTTAAGCATTATTAAAGAAACAGAATAGATAGCCATAAACAATGCTAGTGAAAGTATAACTGGAATGTTTTAAATGATTGTGCATTTGAGTAATTGCTGTATGCTTTGTGCCAGCTATTACCCTGAAAGAAGCATTGAGATAGAAAAGCACACACACACAAAATATATAAAGCAAACACAGCCTGTAAATGTTTTACTTCTAAGACCTTCATCTGAAGGCCAGCTGAGTTTTTATTTTAGACTGAGCCATATCTTGCATTTCTACATATTATTTATATATTCCATTTCCTCTTTACCCTAAGGGAATTGATCCTGCAAGCTGATAAGTATACTTAATGCAAATAGAGTTCAGGTCAGTATCTTACAAGGTCATCTATTCAGCTCTTTAAAAAAAATCAATCTAAAGCAAGCCCATCACAAGCCTGGGAAAGGACATTCTGCTCTTTTCATGATATATTTTATCTTTTCTGTTTGAGGCAGCTTTCCAAAGTTGCTGCATGGTACAGAAGATTTTTCCTTTTCACTCTTAAATGACTTCTGCCAGTCTAAGGCAGAAGGAAACCTTTCTGTCCTGTTTTTTCTGTGTTGCAGCATTCATAGGGACTGACAGTAACACTGAACCATTTGTTCAGTGCTTGACTTGCAGCAGAGCAAGGATTAGTCCTATTGACCCTTCTGGACTACATAAAAATGTGCAGAAGTAACCAGGATATAATCATAGTTGTGCTAGTAAAGAGGCAGACTTCAGTAAAATAATGTGTGCATTTTTCCTTGATACAATAAAATAGTCTGCTTAAAATACTATTAAAGTCAGACTTATGTTTGTGGGATTCTTTTTCCTGAATTAAGATTTTAATCATAAATATGTGAAAATCCAACTCACATATCCTATCTTCAACACAGTTGATGCAATGCTACAGATTAAAGCAATTGAGAACCACAGAATAGCTCGTTTAGAGAAAATACATACTTTTATGTAAATGGAACCAGAGTGGCGCTTTAGTTTTCTGGGATCAACTGCGTCCAGCACACACAGGAACAAACCCTTTTGTCTGAATTCTCCACTTTCATATGTAATGTTTGAACAATGTCTTTGTAAAATGACTCATATTTGATAATATTAGTGCATTTGCTTTAATTCACTCCAAAATAACATTACCTTTTTGGTAATATGTCAGAGTTTTCTAGAGGCTGCTGCTCATGTATTATTATTATGGAAACCTCAGCTAATTGCAAAAGCTTGATTCTCTCTTCCCTTCCTTCTCTCCCTACTTTGGAATTGTTACTTAACTCATTTTAAAAGGAAAGAAAGGTTTTTTTTTTTTTTTTAAAAAAAAAAAAAAAGCCTGTAATAATTGTGCATTATAGCTTATCAGGCTGTTCTTCAGTTGCTTATCTTAGTGAACAGAAGATAGGAAATATACAGTAATGCCCTTAAAAATCACTCTCCTCAAAGAGGCAAACAATAAAGTAAATCGCATGGGTACTATATATAGCCAAGTTAAACACATTTCTACTGCTGTAAAAAATATAGAATAAGGAGCAATGACAGGGAGAGAAAACATACTAAGGCTGTTAAGGTAAGATGAAGAGTAAAATGTGTGTGTAGTTTTATTTTAGAAGAAGCATTTGGAACACGGACTCACAAAGAATAAAAATGTGGAAATGGAATGAGGTATATGAAATTTAGGGATATGAATGGAAGTTGCTGCTCTTAAACACTGCTTTATTTATTTATTTATTTGTAGGACTTTTTCAAGGCATTGGGAAGAGTAAAGCAAATTCACGATGATGTCAAGATTCTCCTCCGGACAAATCAGCAAAGGGCAGGGTGAGTGCTGTTTAAACAGCTTTAAGATAGTCATTTACTAGTTAAAAGCAGTATTTACGGCAAGGTCTCATTCCTTGCATCGTATTATCATAAAGAGTATTCCACATCAAAGCAAAGAATAGTAGCATATTTTGAAATTTTCTTAAAAGTGGTGCTTTTAGTTAGATTTCTAAATTTCTAATACTACCTGTAATAGTATTTGCTAATAAAATGTTTTTTTTCATCTTTTAGCTTGGAAATTATGGAACAGATGGCTTTACTGCAAGAGACATCTTATGAACGACTTTACAGATGGACTCAAAGTAGGACTAAGATTATTTTTACTATGTTTATGAATATTGTGGTGACTCCTTTAACTCCTTGATATGCTTTCAAGTCTGCAGGAACTGTTTCCAAGATTAATTAACAAGTCTTCGGATCTCAGTGAAAAACTTGTCTAAATGCTAGCTTTTTTGGATCAAATTGTTAACTTGGAGATTCTCTTCATTGTGAGCTTGTAATCATTGGCTAATAAACACCACTTTTTGTAAAATTATGTTAATTTATTTGCAGTTTTCAGATGGTCTTCTGTAGAGGTCAGTGACTACAGTTTAGTAGTCTAATGGAGTTCATTGCATTTCATATTCTTGCAAGTCGCAAGAAAGTTCTCTTTTATTGTTAATTTGCTAGAAACCTCCATCTTAAGAGTGGTTTATTATCTTTTAAACTTGATTAAACCTTGTTTAAACCCATCTTTTAGATTTGGCTTCTTAGGATGTTCTCTTGAATTATAGTATATAATATTTTTGCACACACATACTCCGACTTCAGATATCAGTGTTTCTTGGAACAACTTGATAATGCAAAATTTTTGCTTTGTTTCACTTGTCTCTTCTCCTGAAATGTTGACAGGAAGATACATGAAAAAGGTGGTGGAATAGAAGAATACACTGGTAGTAGTTTTTCGTTGAATACTCAAATGATGGTTGTGGTTTGGTCTTAGTAAAAATTAGCATATATTATGCTAAATTTTGCAACTTCATTTATTTGATTTCCACATCCTTGTGTGGAATATGCAAACTTAAAAATGTATTATAAATATAGCTATGTCACTTAAATAAAAAAGTATATAGCTGGTTTAAATAATACGTGCTGCTTTTTTATTAGTAAAATGCTTGAACGACTTAACAATTTGTACGTAGGCAAAAGCAGCTATTAAGCTTTCTTTATTTTTTTATTACCGCTGAGATTTGCGATGCCCATTTGTTTTATAGCAAAATAATGCTTATGAGGAGGGGAAATTGAATTACAATAAAATAAACAAGATCATGCAATATATTCTCCAGGTTTCAACTCAAAATCTGAAAGTTCTATGAGTTTTTGACCTGTTTTCTTGTTTGACAGCCTTGTATATAGGATATTACATTACCTTTTTACTGAGTAAATAATGCATTTTTGTTGATGTTGGTATTTTTCAGATGAGTGCAGAACTTTGACACAAGAATCGTGTGACATTTCTCCAGTTCTCGCTCAAGCTATGGAAGCCTTACAAGATAGGCCTGTCCTATATAAGTAAGTAAATATTCATGGTTAACAGAAATGAGTGTTTTTGCCTTATAACACTTGCAAAATGCTATGAACTACAGGGAAAAGGATGGTGGGTATTGCATCAGATTAAAGAAAAATTGTATTTCAACTTCTCTATATTTCGGAAGTCTTTATTAGATAATTATGGTACAATATTTTTTTTTCCAACTTACTGTTTTCTAATTAAAGTAAAATGTCAGACTGTTTTTATTTTAATCCAAAGGAACTCAGTATGTGGGCTGCTGTCCTTGTAGGATTTTCCTGAAAGTAAAAAAATGCTGTTCAAAGCATGTGATTGTCTAATTTAAATCCCCAAATTAAAAATTTGCTAAAGGCCAATTAGATTCACTCAAGTGCTTCTAGCTGTAATAATGTCTTCTATTATGAGTTGGGAAATATTATGTTAAAACCAATCTGCTCCACTTGGCGTGCCTCCAAAGTGTAGGGGTATCTATGTATGTATTACATAGTGCTGTATGATTCTTGTTCAGGGGTTGCTGAAGGGATTGTTTAACCTGAATTAAATGCTCGTTACTAGGAGCAGAGTAACCACACGGTGGCACTATAAGAACTGTCTTTGGTGGTGGTGACCTTACAAGGAAGTACAGTTTTACACTTAATTCTAATACATTTCACTTCTTAGTGCTTTAAGAGCCTTTTTTTTTTTTCTTTTTCAGCTACTCAATTATTCATCATAATTTTCAGCTATTTCTCTTAGCCAAAGGCATCCAGAGCAGCAGAGTGTTAGGCTGTCTTTCAAACACTAGTCTTTAATACTACCACAGGTGCAAGATGAGCTAGGTGATACTGGTAAACTTAAAAAATAGAGGGGAATGTGTGGTGGAAATGGCAGTGCTTTCTGCCATTAAGGGAGAGAGTGCACGTATATGCATGCCTAGACAGCATTTATTAATTTGAGGGGTGTCTGTTATCTCACAGGATCTCCCCAGCTGTTGCTCATAGTGTTAATGTGCTATTTACTGGGGCTGTAAATTGGTTAGTACCCTGGGCCATGGCAGAGTCCTTTATTGTGTTTTGTCTTCAAGGCCCTTTTACAGAGATCACTCAGCTGTGTTCACAACATTTTATAAGGATTGTTATAGGTATGGTGTACGTCTTCCGCAATAAATATCATGTTAGATTTTAATTAATTTCAAATTTCACATAGTTTTGCTTTCTTAATGTTTATGACAAAAAATCATCTTCCATATAAAATGCATAGCTGGCTGATTTACAGTGAATCTTAGCGAGATGCTTCCTTTTCTTACTACATAGTTTTCACAGACAACAGTACTAATACTTCCAACATTTGAACTCAACAGGACATAGTTTTTTGCAGAAATGCAAAAGTAACATTGCTGTAGAAGATGCAACCTTATGTCTTATCTTAGATTGTCATGCTTGCTACATTTGTATTGATAAAAATGCGTTACTGAGGCTTTGTAATATTTTGAATCTATATTTCCTTCCAAAATTAAAAAGATATATATATATATACACACACATATATATATACACCTTTGTACATGAGTAGTGATGAGGTAAAAATATAAAAACTGTCATAGAAGAAATTAGCTTGAAATTATTGTTCTGCAGTTAAGCCCTGCAGTGTTGAACTAAACCCAAATTTTCTTCCAGATTACTGCCCCAGCATCTGATAAAGATGAAAAAGAGTGAAATAGAGAAGGGCAAGCGTTTAGAAACATGACTGCAAATTCTTGTTTTCTGATTTCAGGTTATATATTTTTAACCTTAAGGTGGCAGAAACGTTGCACCATAGACAGACTTCCAAGCACCTCAGTCATTAGACATCTGAAATAAATATTTCAGTTTGGTCTTTACTTCCTGTTCCTAACAGAAAAATCAAAAACTATTTTGTAGAGAATATGCGGAGTCATAACTGAAAGGAGTATTTCTCTGCCATCCAGCACTCGTTATATTTTATTTTTTTCCACCACCTCCCTGCCAATGAATTTATTGGTATTTGAACAATTGGTGAAGGGCTGAAAAGAATGCAAATATTCTTTCCCTCCCCCATAATGCCTGCGTAATAACATAGTGGTTAATAATGTGTTTCTAGTGAAAATAATAGTTATTACTGAATTCTGTGCATGCAGGATTATGTCATAGTTATACCCTGTTCTCCTGAGAGTAAAAAGAAAATGAGTAGCTTTTTCATTGAAACAAAATTATTATTAATTGTGGTTTTCAAGCCTAGTGAGACCTACTGCTGTATCTTTAGGGATCTGTTATGGTTATTTATTGTAGGAGAGGGAAAAAAGCTTACCTGGTTTATACACACACCTGAGATTTTTCACTGCATCTACTCTTCTTGGACTGTTGGTAGTGAGTGGATCTGAGATTGCTCTTTCTACTAATCATGTAATATTTGAAATAGTGCTTTATTACAGAACGTCTAATATTAACCATTTTAAAAAATGCAGGTGTTTCTAAGTTACCAGATAAAGTTTCTGGAGAAAAATATAGAAAAGCACTGAAACTTTTGTTTAAATATGCTATTTTCCCTCTTTCAAATAGTAATATAGATAAAGAGCAAAACTGAAAGATCCCTTGGGCTATTTGTAGGGTAAGAGAAGTCTTGTTTAGGTAGACTTGGAACCTGTTTAGCTGTGAGTGCTGCACTCCCTTCAAGCAGAGTGGCATACTTTGTTGTTGTTGTTATTTTGTTATTTTATTTTTCCATTTATTCAGTTCCCGGGTGTCACTAGTAAGCGATGCCACACTTGACACACTTGATCTTTGCTATTTCACCAACTGTATTGGAAAAATATTGTCAGATGTTTCTTTTTTTCTCCTTTGCAATTCATGTGTTTTGTTCAAAATACTTAAATTCTGTTCTTTAAAAAAATAGAAATGGTTGGATGCTTTCAAATTCTTCTGGTTTCTAAATAGGTACAATTGAGAGTTAGCAGTGTTAGTTTTTTCTCTCTCACTTGCTCAAGCCCCAGCAGGAAGGTAGCCTCCTCTGCAAACACGTGTGTGTATGTTCTGGCACATCCTCTGTTACTGGGATGCTGATTGGGATGATGCACTCTTGACCTGTAATTGTCCATCCATTAAATACCTAACTGAGACTCACTAATTAAAATAACTGAACAACTATTGAGTGGAAATAACTCTGTCGCCACTAACCATCCGGTGGCCTAGAGTGGTGCCCTGGTTATTTTCATTCATTTCTGTGTGGCGAAGGGGCTGAGAGGGTGAAGAAACGATCATCTTGAATATGTGTTCAGAAGAGTCAAGAATATCCAGAGGTTTGGAATTTTTCATAGCGGAAGCATTGGTGCAAATTTGTTTGAATTCTAAAAATGATTACTTAAAATAACTGTGAAGCTGAACTAGTGAAACGTGATAATGTGAACTGCTTTGTTTGTCTTTTCATATTTCTATTCCAGGTATACTTTGGATGAATTTGGAACAGCGAGGAGGAGTGCAGTAGTTCGTGGTTTTATAGATGCTCTTACTAGAGGAGGTGTAGGAGGTACACCCCGTCCTATTGAAATGCATTCCCACGATCCTCTGAGGTACAGTCATAATAAAAATTAATTAAAAAAAAAAAGTATTTTGTTCACTGGTGGGTTAAATGCCTCACACTGTAAATCCCTGATTTACATAGGACTTTTTTATTTCATGTAGGTATGTAGGAGACATGCTGGCCTGGTTGCATCAAGCTACAGCTTCTGAAAAAGAACATTTAGAAGCCATGTTAAAGCTTGTAACTGTTCAAGGTACTACTAGATTTTAAAACATATATTCAGAAGTAATAGAAAATGTGTCAGGGATAAGGCAGAAGGTGTTATTAATTTCCTAGACGATGCCTCGGTTGTGTAAGTTTGACCTTAAGTGATAACTGTGGATAACCTCAGAATAGCTGATCCTTGCATTTTGCAAAAAGCCCCCAATGAAGTTGGGTATTTCACAATTCACTCTTCTCATTTTACTGTGCTCAGAATAGGTTTACACTAAATTTAGAAAGAAACTTTTTATGCTGTGGATCAGAGTCGTGATCCCAGTCAAAAAGGCTGTTTATAATATATGTGAATGTATGTGCCTGTGAAAACGTAGTCCTGTGGTTGCTTATTGACATGTTAAGGATATCTGTTATCCCTTGCTTCTTTATTTAGTAAGAGGTGTGCTTTTCATGGTGTGTTTTTCTTTGCTTTATTTTTAATAATTGTCTGCTCCTCCTGTCCTGTAAGTAAAATTCAATTTCCTTTTGTCATGTAACATATTGCTATAAGTTCCTGGACACCAGAGTGCCTGTCATTGATCTATGAAGCTTTATAATATTGACATTGCGGTTCATTAAGAGTGCACAGATTTTTATTCTTCGGCCTATTTGCGCTTTTTGAAGTACTTTAGACCTGTACTTTCAAGTACTTTATTCTGTAGAAGCTGCGGTGCGATCAGTCTCCATAGCTGCAGCCAAGAGTTGTTTATCAGTTGAGCATGTATACTCAGTTGTAACAAATAGAGATCAAATGCAAGTTCTTGGAGTGAGTATGAAGAGTTCTTCAGACTGTAAGTCTTTGAGTGGTGCTCAGGGATTTAAAGTTAATAGGCAGTCGTGTTTTCCTTACTGCTATAAGTAGCTTTCCTAATTAACAGCATGTGTGCAAGAAGCTGCTTAAAGTAGGAACCATTATAAATCAAGCCAAAACAAAACTTGAGAATTCTATAAAGTTTATTCAGTGATAGAGTGCCTTACTATATATATTTCATGTGCTTGTTATTTGCATACAGAAAAAAGATGATTACTTCTATCTTTAAATCCTCCTACAGGATGAGGTTTTTTACTATAGTTACAGAATTCTGTAAAAGTGAATTTATTTACTGAATGTTTTTTGGAGATAGGAAAGCAGGACTCATGATGGCTGTTTGAGAGAGAAAAACATGTGATGATTCTATGCATGAAGAGCTGAATCTTCTGCTGTAACTGCAGACAGTGTTTGAGGGAAAGCTGGACACACACAGGACGTTACTGTATCTAGTTCTGCTGTTGGCGCTGGCGCTGTTCCTGGCAGGTCTTGCATTCTCTTCTGAAACTCTCCCACCTCTTTGTGAGGTGTTTTATCTAGCTATTAAATTCTCTGGCCTTCTGGCAGGATATCAGGCTGAGATGTTACAATAACTAAGATATATTCAGAGCATTTCAAGCATTAATCAGAATAAACTCCTTGGGAATATAGAGAAGAAACATGTTTGAGAGAAAAGTTTCCTGAAAATACCACCAGGCAAAAACTTTTTTTTTTCTCCACATAATAAACAAGCAAACTAGCATTTCTGAGTGAAGCAACATCTGTCCTCCCAAGCTTGATCAGGAGTGGGTTTGCCATCACTGTTAATGCACTTCTCTAGAAATGTAAACAGAATAAGACGATTAGGGATTCTTAGCTTCATACTGGGAGCACAAAGCCTGGAAGTTACTGTGTTAACTGGTCCTCTGGATCCTTGGGAAAATTTTTTGATGACAGGGATGGTTATAGGTTAAGATCTGTAAGGGGAAGCAATACTTGATGGGATACAACTGAGTTTAATAAAAACCCATTAGTGCAAAATGCAGTCATATGAAGTATCTTGAGATTATATACTTCATATAAATATGGATCCAGAGTTGGCACTTGCTAATCAGTTATACACCATCTACAGTACTGAGAGATTGAGTTGAATTCCCTGATAGTACAGTCTTCAGGTGCCTGATTGCATGGGCTGTAGCAAGGATTAAGTTACATTCACTTAGCCATTTAAAAAGGGGGCATCTTGTTTGTGATTATAGAAAAGAGAGTTTCATTACCTGCAGAGTGCAAATCCTTAGGTCACATAATCACACACAAAAAAGATGAGTTTGGAAGAGATGTCTCCAGATTACCTGGTACAAACCCTTTGCTCAAGCTGGGGCAGCTAGAGCAGGTTGCCCAAGACCATGTGCAACTGAGTTTTGAATATGTGCAAGGATGGAGAATCTACAGCCTCTCTGGGAAAACTGCTCCAATGTTCAACCGCCCTTACAGGGAAAAAAGAAAGTGTTCTCTTAGGTTCAAATGTAGTTTGAACTTTTCCTGGGTTTCAGTTTGTGCCCATTACCTCTGTGTTGTGTCACTGGGTACCACTGAGAAGAGTATATTGCATGACACCACCACCCCATCGCATCTTTATACACATTAATAAAATGCCCCTGAGCTTTGTTTTCCAGACTGGACAGATTGCTCAGCCTCTCCTCTTATGAAAGATTTTCCAGTCCCTGAATCATAGTGGCCCTTTGCTGGACTCGTTCCAGTAGCCCCATGGCTCTGTAGCACTGGGGAGCTCAGCATGGGAGACGCCATGGGGCCAGATGTCTCACCAGTGCTGAGGGGAAGGATCACTTCCCTCTACGTGCTGGCAATGCTCTTCCTAAAGCAGCACAGTATGTTGTTGGTCACCTTTGCTGCAAGGACAAATTGCTGGCTCATGTTCAGCTTGTCCAGGAGAACCCACAGGTGCTTTACTTCAAAGCTGCTCTGCAGCTGCTCAGCTCCCAGCTTGCACTGATGCATGAGTCTCCCAAGGTCCAGACTTGGCACTTTGGTTTGTTGAACTTCATGAGATGCTTCTCTGGCCATTTCTCCAGCTTGTCATGGTCCCTCTGAATGGCAGGAGGGCCACTGGTTTAACAGTCCCCCCTCCCAATTTCAGGTCATCTACAAACTAACAACGGCCACTGCTCTTCCTTTATCCACCAAGCCAGCCATCTCCTTGTAGAAGGCTGTCAGGTTGGTTAAGTTCAATTTTCTGCTTTGACTGACTGGTCCTGATCACCTTCTTGTTTTCCATGTATCTGAAAGGATCCAGGATTAGTTTCCTCCTCCGCTTCCCAGGGATCAAGGTGAGGCTGGTAGACACAGTGCTCCAGATCTTCCTCCTTGCCCTTCCTGAAGGTTGGCAGTGACATTTCTTCCAGTCTCCTAGAACCTCTCCAGAACACCATGGCATTTACCACAAAGATAAACATCTAGTGTAAATATTTTGGAGACTTTCATCACTACTTTTTTTGTTTGTTTGTTTGTTTTTTCCTTTTATTCCCAATAGAGGGAGCCTAAGCAACTAGTATAAACTAGACACCAAATTGGGAA